AAATTGTTTATATTATTCTAATATTTTTTTATTTAATAAGATAATTTATTTAAGATAATAATTAAGTATTTTGTTAGAACTCAATGATTATTTTAATTATATCTTTGATTTTTTATACTTAAAATGGTGTTTATCATGTATTTGATTATGTTTATATGTAGTTAGTTATACGAATTCAAACATGAAGCTTTAATAAATTGTATTTATGCACAATCAACTTGTAATCTTGAATTTTAAGTGATATGCATCAACATACAGTACTTTATACATAAAAAATTGTTTTTAAAAGTTTTTATCAAATGCTTTATGATATACTATAGAAATTATTAAACAAAATAACTCAAATATTTTATAATATAAATTATTTTAAAAGATTTTATTAATTTAATAATCCCAACAAATTTTCCAACTTTTAATAAAATAGTATTATCTTCTCTTTCCTCATTATCTCCCCTTCAAATTAAGTAAAAAATTAAATATTAGAAATTCATTTTTAGTCCCTCTTCTTTTTCATTTTCTTGGTTTGGTTCATCGAAGTTTACAATATGTCTGGTTTTGGTCCCTACGATAAACGATCGTTAAAAAGATCTGTTAAGTAAGGGCAATTTGGTCTTTCCATCATTTTGTGTTCTTATTTCCTTTTAAGAAAATAAAAAAGTAATATAAATTATTATAATAATATATGTTTGTATTTAGTATAATTAATGCACCATTTGCCCCACCCACCATCCTCCGTCCCTCCTCTTTTCTTCTTCATTCCCCTTTCTGATAAAAATTTTTAAAAATTATTTTTTTATATAAATTATTATTTATTGATACATATTATTTATAATTTAAAATTACAAGCAAATTTTGGACAATTACAATTTATTAAAGCTTTATTTTTAATTTGTATAACTAACTGCAGATAAACATAATCAAATACATGATAAACATCTCATTATAAATATAAAAAATCTAAATATAATTAGGATAATCATTGAATTCTAATAAAATACTTAAGTTTTATCTTTATAAAAAATTTATATTATCAAAACACAAATTACTTTGTTATTAAACCTAAATTAAATTATAATAATAAAATTGAAAAACAAAAACTTTTAAATAGTAATTACTAATATCAATATTTTTAAAAATTTTTTAATGATATTTTCCAATTTATATTTTATTCAAAAATAAAAACATTATCGTTTTTCTCAAAACTACATAAAACCGTATTATATCGACAAAGATAACTAATGAAACTAAATATTAAAATTGAGATATATTTTATTGCACGAGTACCCTTCTAGTACTATATATATATATATATATATATATATATATATATATATATAACTTAAAAATCAAGATTACAAGTTCATTAAACATAAATACAAGTTATTAAACCTCAATGTTTGATTTTTTTTGTAATTAACTGCAGATAAATACGATAAATACTAAGAGAAACATTTATTTTATTTTCTAAAATATCTAAAAATTTAAAACTCTTTGTATAAATAACCGATAAACACAAGAAAATCCGAGATAAAACACCTCATATTTTTTTATTACATATATTATCTTTTTAATTTTAAATATAAAAGATCTTAAGTATAGAAATTAAATAAATTAAACTAGAAAATTAGAATTTTATAATCTTTAGTTTTAAACCCATATTGGTATATATATTTTAAGATAAAATAAGAGTAAATTGCATGAAAAAAATAACGTACCCTAACTTTATTCATATTTTGAGTAACGTACTTTCAAAACTTTCATTTTGATACCTATTATGTAAAGTTTTAAACATTTAAGCACCCGAGTAACTGGTACCATGCTGCTATGGTAGTGATTTACTTACCTTTTGAAATTAAAATTCAATAAGTTTTATGTTTGGTTGGATACCACATCATTGGAGATAGTTTTACTAAAATTAAAAACATTAACATGCGATGACATGGAAAACCAACCTATTTACATTGATTTACATAGTATTACTCGAAAATCGGAAAATTAACATTGTGACCTCAAACGATGTCATTTTATGTACCAAAAATATATCATATGATGTTTTTGATGATAAAACAAATTGATGATGCTGAATGTTCTAGTAGATAATATTAATTTAGAAATGATTATTGATTAATTTTGCGTCTAAGAATACTCGGAAAAACGGTTTTATATGAATTCAATGTTATTTATGATGATAAAACAATATATTAAAAAAATATCGTACTTACCCTTTCACATCTCACCCAGGGCCTAAAAATGTCAGAAACGGGCATGTATTTATATACAACAAATAGAACAAATAAACTCACACACATTCTTCACCAAACAATTTCTTTTATTAAAAACAATATATTAAAAAATATCGTACTTACCCTTTCATTCTTTCCAGTTTAACTAGAAATGAAATTTTGGGCTTCTGGGAGGAATGTGCATATTATATTATAGAAAACCAAACCGTTTCTTTTATTTTCATTCTCATTGATTACTGCTTCATACATTTAACAAAATACCCCCTTAGAAAATTGTTTTCTCACATCTATTATCTGGTTTGGAGATTCGGTTAATAAAAGTCTAAAATCACCATTTTTTTTAATCTTTTCTATTTTGTAAGAGAATCTCCAAAAGGTTCTAAACTAAGTACATGTTAGATCAGAGATTTTAAATAGTAATCAATGAGAATAAAAATAAAAGAAATTGTTTGGTTTTCTATAATATAATGGGCTTATTCCTCCGGAAGCCCAAAACTTTATTCCTGGTCAATTGTGGGAAATGAAAATTCATTATCATTTAGATAGCATTTTCATCCGTTTTTTAACCGATATATTAATTGTTTAACAATTATTTATATATCCCAATACTTATAAATGTTATCATAAGTTACTTAATAATGTTATAGGGAAAAAAAGACAAAACTACCCTTTTAAAGAAAATATAAGTGCAAATAACACGAATCTACGTCTCGAAACAAAGATATTACATACAAAAAATTCAACTCGAGGGTTGTGTTGTTTACTAAAAATGTTGATTAGAATACCAAAAATATCTCTATCTGTGTCGAATTAAAATCAGAACGCAAAAATACTCAAAAAGTAGTGTATTTGAGTCGAAGCATGTAACTTGAGAGAGAACCCACCCCCTTTACTTACCTCATTTCAGGTACAATCTAAAAACTTTACACCCTTCTTCTTTAACTTAAATATATCTTCTTCAAATTCTACTTCACCTGCACAAAAATCAGCATTTATTCACATGTGCATGAAGCATTTATTCACATGTGCATGAAGCATTTATTCACAAAAAAAAAAAACCTCGATGAGTAGTTTCTTTCTTCAAATTGAAGTTGAAATCAGAAGGGGGCCTCAAGAGACTCATCCCATACATCTGCACTACCATTAGAGGCATCATCCGCGTCTTCCTCCATTGAAAGCCTAATATATTCCCGATGTGCAAATCGGTCCCATTCAGTCAACGTTGGATTCTCACGCTCCTATTCACAACAGCGTGTTATTCCTGTTCTTACCAAAGACCAACTTATTTATTATGATGATTTATATACCTGACGAATGAGGAAGGGATCACGAGATTCAAAGGCCATGAACTTATTAAGGTTAAAGAGGATATTGAAAGCACTGCCGGAGAGTTTGCTTCCTTTCAAGTCACGTAAAGTAAAATAGGCCTCATCCTGCGAGTAATTTGACGAAAGTAACAATCATATTCCAAATTTGACGAAAGAGGATATTAAATGAATACGAGTGTTACCTGTGGTTTAATCATGTCAACGATCTGGCATAAAATGTCCTCAAAGAGAACAGGCTCTTGGGCCATACATTCCATCCTATGCAACTGCTCTTCATAGAAAAATTGCAATTCATTCCTTGTCAGCACCCCATTTCCATCCAAATCTATGCACTTAAACCTGAAAAACAAACACCACCGATAAATCAACTATCTACAGAATACGAACAGGGTGTTTAATTCTATAAACCAAGACCATCTAAATGTTTTCAGCATGCCAAACAACCTAGTGGCTTTGACCAGCCAGCTTTCACTACTGTATTGCTCGGTTAGGTCTCTCTCTCTTGAAAAACTGAGGAACACCCTGGTAACCATTCATCTGGACAGTATGCACGTGCGCATACAAGTAATTGAAGTTGTTTCTTGGTTTTTATGCACGTGTGCATGTTATGCACATGTGCATACCGTTCTACCGGACAAATTGCTTACAAATTACTTGTATGCACATGTGCATACCGTCCAGATGAACGATAACCAGGGTGTTACTCAGTTTTTCATTTTTTTGCGGCTTTCCCCTGAACTTAACCCTACATACATATATATCTATATATTAATCAAATGAGAACCTCATATATATTGTGATTACCTCATATGTTGTTGCACATGATTTTTTCTATCTAAGGTTAGAATTTAAAATATTGATCAACATATATTTGTTTCACAATGTGATCATTTCATATGTATTTTGTTTCCAATGTGGAACTTTTTTTTTTGTTTGTATTTTTTGTTTTACAAACACGCAAAGAAATGTTCATCACATTGTGAAACAAATATATGTGAAAGGAACACATTGTTAAACAAATATATGATAATCAATACCCTAAATCCAAGCCGTATATGAGAAAAAATCATGTGAATAACACATGATGCACCAGTTCTCAAGCTTCTCACAATTTTGTGGTTTCTCAAATGATTGTATGTGTGTATATGTGTGTGTATAATCATATATAGAAATAATTTGTGAATAAAAGAACAGGATATGAGGTGAAAAAAGCAACAGAAACTGCAGGAATCACAACTTTTATGAGTAGAAAATTATGATAAGATTTCATCGTACGGGTTCTCTTTGATGTATCATTCAAGATAAAAGCCACTTTAATGCATCTGAGCCATTTGAAATAACAGGTTAGCAAAACTTAGAGAAAAGTGAGGCGGCCACATTGCCACGACGCCCATGCTTAATGTCAAGGGTTCTAACACCCATCTGGTTGTCCATTGGGAGACAAGCCAACTTAGAACACTGCATTTTCAGTATTACACTAAACAGAATAAAGAGACCTAAAAACAGAAAATGTCTAGGGCCAGATTCATAAATCAGTGCACCAAGGGGAAAAGTACTAAAAACGGTCATACCAGTACTCGAGACTAGGCTCAGATGATTTATCCTCTTCAGACAATATGAAGTAAACGAAATCTTCGTATCCCATTTTCCCCTCAACTTCACTCGTGAACTTTCTTGGAACCTGTATGTTATTAACGCGTCAGAAAGAATAGAATTCAACCTAGTACATAAGGCAAATGACCAACTTTCTTGGAACCTGTAGGAAAACTAGGCCCGTTTGGTTTGCGGGATTTGGTAGGATTTGGAATTGGATTCCATTCCAATCCCCCACTTTTGGTTTAGAGAAAACCCACAAACATTGGATTTAGAAATCCCATGGAGGTAGTTGGTATTTCACGGGATTTCATAGGATTTGTTTGTACTGATGTTTTAAAATAGGTTAAAAACACTTGTTTGTTAATAATCAATTGATAAAAAAAGTAATTTAATTGTTTTAATAATTTGTTTTTATAAATAATTAATAAAGAATGGAATTCAATTTGATTCCAAATCTTACAAAACAACCATACCGAAGATTCCAAATCCTTCAAAAAACATTCCGTCAAACCAAACATAAGGCTGCAATATTACAAACCTGGGAGAATATTCTGTCAACAATCCTGTACGTCAGTGCGTGGTTACCGTATCTTATAAGGTTCTCTTTATCAATCAAGAAATCATGATCCGTGTCCAGCTCCCAGAACTTGCAATATATTACATAGAAGTGTTCATACGAGAAATACCTGTTGAAAAAAAGATCAACAAATGGTTGAACAACTTTCAAACCTAATCACAAAAGATAAATACATATTCTTAAGGTTTAAGCCATTACATCTTGTTTCGGCTTAATGGCATTTCATACATGTGAAAAGTCTTCTGCATATATCCAAAAACACAAAATAAACATTTTCACATTTACTACTGTTCAGTGACATACAAAATATTCGTTTTCAAAAATACATTTTGGGATGACTACAACATGAAAACTCAATCCATCATAGGCATAGTCAAACACTCCACTTTTGCATACCAAGGACTACTTAGGGGATGTTTGGTTGGTTTTGCATTAAGTCCTGTATGAATAAAGTTGTATGTGTGAATTAATCTATTTGTATAGATTGTGAAGGTTTTTGTTTGGGAGGGTTTTCATAGATGGAGGGAGCGTGGTTTTTAATTGGGAGCAGCTCTGAAAAAAACTTGGCTTTCTGCATAAAGCTCCCCCCTGAAAGTTTACTGAATAAGCCACTTTTTATATCATTAAGCCACCACCAATCAGTCATGTATAGCTGACCCAATAAGCTGCTAACAAACAGGCCCTTAGTTGAGCAAGTGCATAATGAAACACAGCATTACCTCAAAACTTTGTTTATGTCTTCTTCTTCGTCCGCATGCAGCATTGCATCAATTAGATTTCCACGTTTCAGCTCCCTGAGGGTAAGACGACCATTACCCGTTCTATTCACGTAGTAAAATATTCTGTATATTACCGTTTCAGCTGGCCATAGCAAATAAAAGTATATGTTAAAACTAGGCAATGTCTTAACTTGAATTTCAATTATGAATAGATTAATCTCACATCTGGTGCCACTTTAGTAGTGTCTATTCCAGAGGCGGACCCAGAATTTTTTTCAATCGGTGGCACAATTAATTATAAAAAAGATCTAACTTTTTTTCACAATATTAGTATAGATCTCCCATGTTCAAGTCCTGTCTACATTTATTTTTAAAAACACAATAAGTGTATAAAAAGACACCAACATTTAAGCTAATAATCAACAAATTTGACAACAATGGGACTCGAACCCAGGTCGTTTGTATAAAGGCAGGAGCATTTCCCATCTCAGCCATTAAATTCTTGTGTTAACATGTCAGTTTCAAAAACTATAAGGTGGCACCCAACAAAATAATAATACGGTGGCACCCTTCAGAAACGTAATTTTTTCACCTTACAATGGAACCATGAAGCGGTGGTCCGTGCCACCGTATCATTCCATGTGGGTCGCCCCTGGTATATTGTAAAAAGATGCAGCAAGCATCGCCAAACTGGATGTAGCTAGGAAGGATGCCTATTGTTACTCGGGATGTATTGCACAAGAATAGGAAGACCCGTAAAGATGTTATTCAAAGGTAGTGGGGTAAATGGAAAAACACATTTCGAGGAGTCTTGTGTGATCAGAAAGTCCTAGTGAAGGTGAAAACTATAGAAGCAAGTGCTTAAGAGGGATCTATCCTGAAGTACTGCCAAATAAGTTACAATAATTTCCAATTTCGCAAATGGTTTAACGTAATTCCTACATTGAAATCCAAGTAATTGATTGCTCGGATAAATAACTTTGTGAAGGAACCACCTAGGTGTAAATGGAAACTAATTTGTAGTTGCACACACAACTTTAGAAGCATGGTCCATCTAAAGAAACTACTTTTTTTGGAAGCGTGTCCCAGGCTATGCCTGGACTAATCCTGGAAACTGTGACTGCAAGAAATCAGCCCTCATGAACTCAATCGCCACAATTGTAGTGTGCCTTTGGAATCGAACCCTAGTCGGATGGGATATTCCACCACATCCCCCAGGACCTCAGCCACTACGCCACAACCCTTGTGGTTTAGAGAAACTACTTTCCTGAAAAATTCTTCACAAAATGTTTCTAGAAACGTAAATACTGTTTATTGCATGCCTGGAAATATTGTTTGTTGCATATAAAGTCACCTTCCATCCTTCTTTTCCCATTAAGTAATAAAACATAAACAAGTAAAAAGAATATACCATATCTCTCTTGAAACTCGGGGGTGCTCTGTAAGAACTCCAACCCTGGATGAGTTGCCAAAAGTTCACGAAGTATGGGTTTGAAGTCCTCCTATTGCAAAGTTGATAAACAATTAAATAAAAGAAAGGGAAAAAGAAAGAATTACCAAGTACGGACATACAATCTGATTGCAAATGTTAGGCAAAACTCTATTTCTCCAACTATGAGCAAATTGTCGATTTATCCATAAAAATTTTGAGCTTGAATTCGAGGCTCTTACCAAAAACACAGCTAACTGATAAAATCTGGAAAAAAATTACTTCTCAATTCCTCCCATACGTGGCTTTAATACTGATAACATGACCTCCGATGTGTTAGAAAGAAGCGGATATGACATCTTTCTTGGAAATTCAACTAATAAAAACAAATTAAGCAAATAAACGGACCAAGGTAATGAAAATTAAACATAGAGACAAGAAGTAACAATAAACCCTTTACTAATTTTGACATATCCTAAAATTACCATAATCACTTTCATCCTGTAACAGCCTGAGAGCACCTCCCCTCCAGTGTTATTTGATTCTCATCCGATGAAGGTTCTCCGAAGTATATTCTTTTGTTATTTGCATTTATGATTTTTGTTTGAAAGAAAGACCGTTGATATATTATTTACAGACTATAAGCTATCAACATATCAATCTGTAAGGGAAAATTTTCACAAATAAACTCAAGTTGGGCGGGAAAGATAGAAAATTGGGAGAGGGGGTTATGTCCTGATGGAAACTGTTGTTAGGATCAGCCCTAATTATTTGCTTAGATGGAGAGTGTTGTCGATAAATTAGATTTTTATTTTGGACACTAAAATATTATTGGGTTTTATTTTTAAGATATCAACTGCAACATTGTGGTTTATTTACCACTCCGAAGCTCAGACAGATGTCCTTGTCATCATTTTTAAAGACCAAACAAGGGTGGCATGACAATATGTAGGCAGCAGTATGAAATCAAAGTTTTTATCTTCAAAATAAAAACAGAATCATGGTACACTTAGATTCAAAATCAAAAGTTGTATCATGGTCATTTCTGGCCCTCCAAAAAAGTCGCTGCTTTTTTGGTAGAAACTATTATAGACAATTGACCAATTTGAAAGGAAAAGGTAACAATTCTAACATCCAAATAAACCCAACAGCATAGTGATGGGATTTGAGTAAAAATAATTACCTGAGTTAGATATCTCAAATCAGGCTGCTTTAGTAACGTATATATCTGGGTTGCTGTGTCTTTTGTCAGCATGTTTCTGTTGACCCAAAAGTCCACAAATGATTCCCTGGATATGTTAAAAAAGAATTAGATGTAAATTCTTGCCATGATTTCAATTGGAAGTCATAAGATAATCCAAGGACATGTTCAATAATTGATAACCACCAAGTCAGTTTTCTTTTACTAACAAATCATATAAATATAATGTTCCAAAAGTAACCTAACACACGTGCTTTACATGCTAAGACAGACAATAGCCAGCAGATATGACGGTGATAGGACTGATAATAAGGACCCTGGTGGCTTAATTAGTGGAACCATGCAAGGTATGGTTCTTGAAAGTGTTTATGTATTTGTTAACCCAAGCTAAAATTAAATTTGAGAATTGCTCGATTGAACTTGCATAGTATTTTCTAGAAGGGTGTCCCAGGCTATGCCTAGATTAATCCCGGCAAATTGCAACTAAACGACATCAGCCCTAATAAACTCAGTGGCCACAATTGTTGTTAAAGGTAGTGAAAAAATAAAACAGTGCAAACCATACAATTTTTAGTTTCTTCGTTTATTTATTCATATGTTAGTACATAATATGATAATAATCACTTCATCACATGAAAATTGCAACACGCTCCTTTTTAGAATGTCCTATGAAATTTTCAACATTCCCATTAAGCTTCCAAACTAAATTCCATAGCTGCTCATTATCGGTATCACGATGAATGATGAGTTTCATTTAGGTAAGAGGTCCCCCTAATTTGTCATCATCATTTTCTTCACAAACAAAATATTTTATCATGATTTTAAGAATATCTTTTATTTAAGAATATTTAAGACATTTGATTCAGAGTCAAATGTTTCTCCTATACTACGTGTCCAGTCAAATGTTGCAATTTTTACATGGGACGGGACTATTAAAAAAAGATTATGTAAAGTATGAGCACAAAAACAACATATCCGACATGTTATTAGCAATTCTTCAAGAAATTTCAGTTAATTAAATTGCTTCATAATCCCAAAAGTTATTGATTCCACCATACCTGAATTTTGAGAATCACAGTATTTTCTCTCTTGATTAAAAATCTACAAGGTAGAGTTTGTATACATAATTTGTTTGCTTAATGATAGGCAACTAATCTCTAAAACATACGAAAATAATCTACCTAATTTACAGCTATAATATTCTAACTCATAGCTATATTATCTAAGCCAACACTCCCCCTCCAAATTGGGGCATAAATATTTACAAGGCCCAACTCACTTATGATTCCGTCAAAGCTTGGCTTAGAACCAGAGGGTCATTGGCGCAGCGGCAGGCGGGTTACCGGTAGAGCCCCACCTCCCAGGAGGTCAAGGGTTCAAACCTCACTATGGATGAAGAGTGTGTGTGAGTTTGTTGTATATAAATATAATATACTTAAAAAAGCTTGGCTTGAACAATCCTTTTGTAAGAATATCAACTACTTGTTGCGTGGTGGAACATACGGCATGCATATCATTCCATTTTCTAGCGTTTCTTTGATAAAGTTTGGTCGATTTCCACATGTTTAATCATGTCATGTTGTATGCGATTATAAACAACGCTAATGGCAGCCTTGTGTTGTCACAATACAGCTTCATAGGACATCCAATGGTAGTTGTAGCTCCTACGGTACTCATTTGAGCCAAATTGCTCCACATATTCCATTGACCATAGTACACAACACGTAACTTGGTCTCAGGGTTGTGGAGACACCACATTTTGCTTTTTTACTTCGTCATTTCACTAAATTTTCCGCATACAAATGATTTGTATCAAATAACAGATCTTCTATTAGTGATTGAGTCTGCCCAATCTGCATCAGTAAATACTTCAATAATCTTTGAGGCTTCTTCTCAAAGAATAGCCCCCCTCTGGATCCCTTGAGATCTCTTATAAATGCGGTAATCTGCTTCTAAATAGACCTTCTTAAAAGAGTGCATGAAAATTGGCTGATCAAATGGGAACAAAAGCAATATCTAGTCTTGTGTAAGACAAATAGATAAAATTCTCATCCGAACATTGATATCTCCCAACATCAACTAGATCACCTTCAGTGTCGCTAAGTTTGTTTAATCGAGATCTACAGGCATGTCAGTCGACCTAAAAATAGAGGACTTCCCTCACTAGGAAAGGTGTCCAGTGGATGGCATACTAACATGTCTCCTATTCGTTCTAATTCATTAGTAAATACCTCTCCTCGATTTTTGAATTTAAGAACTTTATGCAAGAGTCAAAGCACCAAAGAGAGAATTGGGAATCTTTCTGATAGGAGATAAGGGTGTTTTTCCTTGCAATATAAAAATTCACCCACCTGTGAGCTGGTTTACAACTTGTCATACCAATATCAAAACGACAATTTTGGTTGAAAGTTTCACAGATTGAGAGCAATATGTCATGTGATCCATAGCCCAATCTATGACCCACAGAACACAAGATTGATTTGAACACACAAATGAAGAAGAGATACCTTACTTTTCCTAAAGCACAAGAAGAACAGGTTAAAAAAAACTATGAAGAGTTCAAAAGCTTATATAAAAGGTGGAGTTGTTTATTGGTGAAAACACTGCGTCTAGAGATGTGGTATGCTCTTGAAAAGTCTTGGCCCCGACTACAGTAGTTTTCCCACCCTTTTTGAGTCGACTTTCCATGGAGCTTCCAACATTTATCTTTGGTATGCCATGACTTGCCCCCAAAATCACAAGAAAATGATTTTTTTTCTTGTCACTTTGATCACCAAAGCCTTTAGAGGCCAGCGCCATGTTGTCTCCATTTTCCGTCAAGTGAACACATTCAATCATAACATGTTTCCAGGCTTCCTTCTCACGTAGTTCAGAGAATACAACCCGGATGGAAGGTAAAGGCCAGTGGCCCATCATTAACTCTGGCAAGAAACATGAAGACACAATCATCTTCCCCTCTTTTCTTTGCCTTTCCAAGGTCTTTAGGGTTCTCCCATGTGTCATCATAACATAGATCTAACTCTTGTCAAAGAGAGAGCATTTCATTGAAACAAGCGATGACATCCCTTTATCACCTTGTTTACAGAGCCACAATCTCTTCAACTCGAGAAATTGACAACTACCAAGATTGAAATAGCATACCAAATTTCTTCTGGATCCATGTACATGAAAGAACGACGGATTTTCATGGAAATTAGCATCCCGTGATTAGAGAATTTATGGAACACGAACTCCAGAACGTGGGGACAGTTGATTGTAGGCTTTGGCTCTTCTCCTGTCAAAAAATCAATCTTTCTTCTTCCATCCTAGGGCTAGTTCAACAGACTGAGGCCATTCCAAATAACTTTCATCATTAAGTTTCACCGCTGAAATCTGCAAGACAGATAGTGAAGCGACGTCTAAACTGGTTGGAACAAGAAGTTGACATGTTGGTTGGATGTACCATGATGTACCATAAACAGAGAAGAAACGGCTATTTAGGAAACCATTTTCTCTAGAAATGACCAACAGATACATTAGATGTGGACTTTAATTGATCTTACATAGAAACTCATAAGTAAGATGATTATGTGTGGATTTTTCATTTCGAGGGTGGAACGTCGATATACTATGATTCTACTGAGAAAACGACATGTGGAGTTAAAACCGTGAAAGGATGGTTAAAAGCAATGTGACTGAAATCGGTAGACGGTAAAATACTAGGGCAGGGTTGTACTGATGGTCCTGGTACCCTACTGATATTTTGAAATTGGTCGGTTTGGGCACACGTTACCGACGTCACATTAAAATGGTTACATGAAGATATGCATTATGAATGGTTATGTGATACCAAAGAAATGGCAATGATACGATTATTTATGAAAATGTTGAAAGCCCATATCACATGATGACTTGGCAACTTTGTTGCTTACAGAATGTATTTCATATATCGCAGGTTGAAGTATTATGCTCATATCGAGCTAGAACGCATGGACGAATTTGATGTGAGAAATATCGACATAGGAACACCAATAAGATGATCTCATAGTTGGGTACAATAGTTTTGTTGTGATCATTGTAATATAATCGATTATATCATGTATTCTCATTTATGTTTATTTCTGAAATTGTTTCCTCTGTAAACACCATAAAATTGTTTATATTTTAGAAGTTTTTGAGGGAAAAAACGAAATGTAGCAGACCCATGGTTCAGGGGTGTTATGGTAGTAACGAGATTTTTGGGTTTTATAAGATGGCAAAGAGGGTTAGGGTTCCCTTAATCAATAAAGCTCTATTAAGATGAAATTTAGAAATCAAAATATTGATAGGAAACTGATCTCTAAGAATAAAAAAAATAATCTAGCTAACTTACAACTATATTATCTAACCCCGCATATCTATAAAGTAGAGATCATGAGGACAGCAACATAGATGCATATACATTAGTAAAGGTAGAAGCTAACATAGACTACAAAGAAATTGAGTAGAAAAAATATTAAAAGGCGAAGGAGCTAACATATAGATGTTGACCCAATACATAATTATTTTTCCTGTAGCACAATCGAACTTGAAGAAAACTAGTATAAAGAGATCATAAATCACTATTCCATAAGCATTAATTGGATTTACATAACAGCTCAATAAGAAAATCACCTGGTTACAATGCCAGTGCTACCAACGTCAATCTTTTTAAAAAGTGTGGTAGAGAAGAATGATGGCAGCATGCATATTTCCTTCGTAACAGGTTTGAATTCTATTCATGATGATGGAAAGTTAGCAAAATCCATATATCCCAAAAAGAAAATCAGTTATTGTAGCAAGCGGAGATTGAAAGTATAATTACAAACTTAATTAACATCATACCATCCAATGATAGTCCATTAGGATGACCATAGAAGAACTGGTTACTTCTAAACAAACAGCGTTCTTTTAGTTCGTTAGGGGCTGGACGGCCATTCTGAAAATAGAACTGCAATCATTGCAAGATTTCCGTTAAATGTAGAACATTAAAGACATCATGCTATACAACAAAAATCAGTTTTCAGCTATCAAACCTGAGGTATTAACTCTTTCACAGGCTCGCTAACTACTTTCAACGGAGAACCGAGAACAGAGGGGCCCGCCCTCTGCTTTGTTATACGAGGAGAACCGGAAGAACTTCTTGGTGAAAGTGGAGGTGCACTGCCAGCAGGAAACATGGATGGTACGGAACTGCTAGTAGCAGACTTTGGGCTGGAAACTGCTCCAGATACATTCAATGGAACGCCTGCTTTAGCATTGCTTAGCAAAGACCTTACCTATATCCAGAGGGAAAAAAATATGATTAGTTTGTCCCAATATATTGGACAAACTAAGAATAATCATAGCCACAGAAAATGAATACAGAACACGGCCTTTTCTAAGTTACAATATTTCATGGGGAAAGCTATGACCTTTACGATAAGCTGATATAAATTTCTGAAAGTACCCTCAAGAAATTAAATTACGAAAGTAAGAAGCATCATGTATATTACAAAAAGTTAATTATGTATTCCTGAGTCAATACAAAGAGAGAACAAAAGTGAAATAACATATAGAGGACAAGAAAGTCGTGCAAGAAAAAATGTTTGTAAGATATGAAATAACTTCAGCTAAAATAAGCTCCAATGTACGTGTACCAACACCAATCACCACCATAGCAAATAGGACATCTACAAGGGAAAAGATCATAAATCAAGCCAGACTAATCCAGTATATGGTGGGGTCTGGGGAGGGTGAGATGTAAGCAGATGTGACCTCTACTCCAAAGAGTAGAGCAGCTATCTTCACTTTAGTCTTCTGTATTATAAAACGTAGATAGATTTATATGCAAATATTAGAGGCGATACTTTCTTAGAAATGCCAAAGCGAAAAATGTTGCTTATGTGATAAGTTCAAGCATCACTTCAGTGTAGAAAGAATAGAAAATCGTAATCCTAGACAAAACTGATCCAGAAAGGGAAGATGCATAAGGGTTGTAATTGGACTTGATATAGAGGACTTCTTCAATAGAGATTCCCAATTGAATTAAGTAGAGCTTTACTCTAGTAGGGAAGTCAATAAGACTAACCATGAGGGACTGACCTCATTCCTAATAATTAAGTTTGACCTAATAACATACAGATTCCGTCAACACAAAAAAGCTATAAACTGCATAAAAGGAATGCTAGAGACCATAATACCAATTATGAATTTTCATATGATGAAAACTTATAGTTGCTTGTAATTTGTAAATAATGTAGAGGACTATAAAGACACCAAAATAATCTTAAAAATATCAATTGCTCGTGATACGAACTGCCAAAGTTAAAAATAAGGCAAATGCTGGCAATTTAAGTGCTAAAATAAGGAAATACTACAGAAAGGATACATGCAACATACCCAGGAAATATAGCAACTTTGAGAGGCCTGCTAAGTTTCTATATAAAACCAATGAACCCACAGTATAGTCTGAGATATCAAAGTTTGTGTAAAGAAGAGTTCAGGACCATTTGTCAAGCTTTCAAAGTTAGGATACAAATAATGTAGCTACAGAACATACAATCTTCATCAAATCAAAGAACTTATGGTAACAATTTTGGTAGAGGAATTGATAAGAGAAGAAATACCAAACGATTAAAGTGCTTAATTTTAAAAACAAGAATCAATGATTCAGAAATTTTCCAAAATTATGCTGTTTCTTTTTTCTAATCTGCATTACACATGTTGTTCCTTTTTTATATATTTATAAAACAAAAACCATGTTCTTCAAAAATAGTTAAAATTATTTTTTGCTTTACCTTTTCATTTTCAAAGTTTAAGCATGCTTATTATACTCATTAATGTAGCAAAGTGGAAGTTATGTCAAGCAACGACAGTTTTATTATTCCCTAAAGATTCTAGCCCGTTTTTGTGTCATAAAGTAGAAAAGTTGTATTTTTAGATAATTTTATTGTTGCGCTTACTAATGGTACCAGGGCGGGGCCAGGATTTTGATTGAGGGTGATCTCTTACAAGTTATACTAATTAGTGAGCTAAAGAAGTCTAATTTAGTTCAATGTTATAGATATATATTTTAGAACCATAAAAAATACGTTAGCCAAACATGTGGTTCAAACTCTTGAATCCTAAACATCCAAATCTTGGCCTCCCTTAAACAACATCCTCAGAGCAAAGTAAAATGGAAAGCCAAAACCAAATATAACAAATTGAAAATAAAAACTAATTAAATTGGAAAAAAATATTCAATCTTGATTGAAATGGGTTCTAAAACTCTTGTTCTTTTCAAATCTCAAGGCTTCTTTTTTTGTTTATTATTTAAATTAAATGGACATGTGATGACTAGAGCACAGAGATCAGGTTTTCAACAACTAATTGACTATGTAAAAACAACCACAAAGTTGAGGGTGGTCCTTGGTTCACCCTGGGCCAAGGGTGGCTCCGCCCCTTGGTACAACATGAAACTTCGTTCTTATTCAGTATTTATTTAGTATCACTTTGCAATGCCACTTACTCATAAGTATTGCTTGATAGATACAAATGTATAAATAGTGCAAGCACTTTTACTCTTATATTTACTTGTTTAAAGTGATCACTAGAAAATGACACCTAAGCGTGCGCAGTTACAAAAATATAAATGACCTAATGAATGTGTTTGCTTATCATTTTACTTGTTGCTTGCATTTTGAAGCAATAATTTCAGCAGTTCAAAGGCTTCTATAGTTCTACCTATAGTGTAGCACAAGTAATGATATCCTAACTCGATATACAGTACCAGATTTCCTATTTTGAGATGACAAGAACAAGTGAACAACTAAGCAATCACTTCATTGTCATCAGAAACAAGCAGTGGGCAGAATTAGAAAATTACTACAATAGGGACTACATATAGATGCCTCTAGCATACATGGTTTCTAACCATTCCATATATGATGTACCAAAAAAGTATCACAGTTTTTGTAAGATGGAAAAATAAACAATAATGAATATTTGATATTTAAGGTGCAGTTAGATATCTATATTTAGGTCCTTTGAATATAAAGACCTACCTTAATGCATATATGTTTAGTATACAAACCTCAAATTTATGCCCATGTAGTCAAATTTCTTAGAGGGTGCTAGGTTAGGCGTAAATTGGGGGTAGAGTATGGGAATGGGATCATTGATCTTGGTTGGATACTGGGTGATGGAGACAAATGAGTCTTTGGATTACAAAGAAGATGATCATAAGCAAATGAAGGCAACTGAGTCTTTGAAAGAAGCCGTTGAATGCTATTCTTGATCCATCTGATTCCCTCCGTTTTCTCCAGAGGTATTCAAGGTCATTGCTCATAACCTGATGTCTTCAAAACGGATTATGTGATTGAGGATGCTAATGGGTTAT